AGTTTCCTCAAAAAATTAAAAATGGAATTCTTATTTGACCCAGTGATCCCACTTCTAGGAATATATCCTAAGAAACCCAAAACACTCATCAGAAAGAATGCATGCACCACGATGTTCATAGCAGTGCAATTTACAACAGCTAAGCTTTGGAAACAGCCTAAGTGCCGGTCAGCAGACGACTGGATAAAAAAACTGTGGTACATCTACACCATGGAATGCTATGCAGCCATGAAAAAGAAAGACCTCCTACCATTTACAACAGCAGGGGTCCGTCAGCTAAGGGGTTAATCACCAAAATGCATAGGAACTCATACAACTTAACAAAACGAAGATAACAGCACAATTGAAAAATGGGCAAAGAGCGTCATAGGTAAGTGTCCAAAGTGGACAAACAAATGGCCAAGATGTGCTCTCCTGAGGGTGGTCATGGTGATATCAAAGGTGTGTTAACCCAGCTGCACAGGAACAATGGACGGGGTGCTTAAGGCAAAGAGGAGCCTTTTAGTAAAGAAGTCATAGGCCTGGGGCATGCCCACCCCCAGGACTGCCCAGGTAGGATGTGTGATCACAGCCTCCTGTGAGAGTCCTGTCAGTCACTGAGTTTTGTCAGATTTAAGACAGAGCCCACTTTTTTGTTCACAAATACATTCCCTATAAATAGACCTAGGACAGGGCTTTCTGTGAGGACTGTGGCTGAGCCTCGGAACAAAACTAATTTAAGACGGAGCAGAAAATGGTATCTTTGCTCAACCCTCCACTCGCTCCTGGTCCTGGAATGTTCCTTGTCCTGAGCGCCCCGTGGTGTCAAGGACGCTTTCTGCAGCCCAGCCCTGCTGTCTCCTCAGGGAGGTTTGTGTCTGGGCTCACACTGACTTCCCCTCACTGTGTCTCTCGCACAGTAATACACAGCCGTGTCCTCGGCTCTCAGGCTTCTGAGCTCCATGTAGGCTGTGCTCGTGGACCTGTCTCCAGTCATGGAGACTCTGTCTTGGAACTTCTGTGCATAGTTTGTTTCTCCATCTTCAGGGTCAACCCTCCCCATCCACTCAAGCACCTGTCCTGGGGCCTGTCGCACCCAGTGTATGTAGTTGCTGGTGAAGGTGTATCCAGAAGCCTTGCAGGAGACCTTCACGGAGGTCCCAGACTTTCTCATCTCTTCAACCCTCCCCATCCACTCAAGCACCTGTCCTGGGGCCTGTCGCACCCAGTGTATGTAGTTGCTGGTGAAGGTGTATCCAGAAGCCTTGCAGGAGACCTTCACGGAGGTCCCAGACTTTCTCAT